AAAAAAAAATTAAATCGACAAAACACACCAAGAGGAGAAAAAGAAATCTAATTGCATATGTACAGAAAGCCCATAAGAACATGAGACCCCCAGGTGGTCAGGCAACTGAGGCTTATATGGCCTCCTGAGCTATGGGGATGAGGGTAGAGGTTTGAGACTTCACAGGGGAGGAAGATAATTTACAGGAAGATGGGAAGAGCAAGTAGTTGGTAAGTAAATGTTTGCCACGGGATGCAGAGACAAGGGAGCCAAAAAGGAATCGGAACAAACAGGCCCTGTTGAGCTTCCCACAGCTACCATACTTAGCTCATATTCTCTGTAGTTATCTCTGATGATAGTTCTCTTCCTGGACTAGGCACTCCATCTCAAGCATTTTAGGCAGTTAAAAGTAAAGTAAAAGCTTCTCCTGAGTCTTTTGGGCCTTGACTGACTTCAGCTCAAAGCAGTCCACATGCCAAAGCGGCACATTTTGGGGAGGCTCATTCTGAACCTCTTCAGTTCCATCTAAACAGTGTCTGTTTCGGGACCTAATCTAGAGAAATGAACCCTTTGCAGATAAGCCTTAACGCCACCCAAATGGTCCAGAATACTGAATTTGGAACTCTGTGCCACAGGTATTCTCGTTAATCATATTTATTATCTCTAGTAAGAGCCGTGATTTGCGTTGTGGGATGAATTTACGCACGCAAACTTTGGTTTATTGATAGGTGGTGCTGGATTTCCAGGGGAACGCCTGGTGATCTTTTGTTGGAAGCAGAGTTCCCAGGGCTATCCCTGGAATCCCTGTTTCTAGCCCTGGCACTCCAATTTCACTCTGAGTTACACTGGGAAAGGGAGAGGAAGGAAAAAGTCCATTTCCCCCAGGCACAGAATTCCAGGGGTAAACAGTCAATAAAATCTTTTCCCCACAGAGGGATCTGGGCTCACAGACATAAATCTCAAGGCTGATCTGCATTCCAATTGGGAGGGAAGCTTAGGAATTATTTTTCATCTTACCCAGTTTATTTTCGAATTAATAAGTGGCAAGGAGGACTTTTGTGAAGTCTTTATTTGGGTTCAGAATTTAAACTTGAGCTCAAGCATTTCTGAGAAGAACATGTCTGTTTCTAAATATTTTCCAGAGGACAGGGCTCTACGAGATTCTTGGATATGGCAATGATCTCTTCCAAACATCTAATATGAATATTCCTTGCTTTATTTTAAAGTTATTCACTTTGTGCTCTTTTTCTGCATGTTTTTAAGATTTCGTTTTTAAATGTGTATTTATTTATTTTCGGAAGAGAGAGACAGAGCATGAGCAGGAGAGGGGCAGAGAGAAAGGGAGACAGAGAATCGCAAACAGGCTCCCAGCGGTCGGCACACAGCCAGACACGGGGCTCGAACTCACGAACTGTGAGATATGACCTGAGCAGAAATCAAGAGTTGGCCATTCAACTGACTGAGCCACCCACGTGCCCCTAAGATTTTATTTTTAAGTAATATCCACACCCAACGTGGGGCATGAACACCCAGCCCCAAGATCAAGAGCCACATGCTCTACTGACTGAGCCAGCCAGGCGCCCCTATTTTTCTGCAGATTAAAAAAAAATGCTTTTAAGCCACCTGGGTGGCTTAGTCGGTTCAGTGTCTGACTCTTGATGTCAACTCAGGTCATGATCTCATGGTTTGTGGGTTTGAGTCCCATGTCAGGCTCCGTGCTGGCAGTGCAGAGCCCGCTTACAATTCTCTCTCTGCCCCTCCTCCTCCTCTCTCTAAGATGAATAAATCAACTTTTAAAAAATGCTTCATTCACGTGACCAGTTTTTGAAAATTTATGTTCGCACCTCCGCAGGCTTCAAAATGCATCTCTGAAAAGAAGGCTGGTAGGAAGCAGATTTTTTTT